CGTGCCTACTCACCTTGACGTTGTTTATTAGCAAATCTAACCAGCAAACAGACCCCCTTAGGCATGCATGGTTGGGAAATCTCATGAAATCAGAGTTAATTGCCAGTTAGGGACTGAGATATGCAAAACCGTATGATGAGTTTTATTTTGGATTTTGCTGCTGTTGTTCTAACTCCTCCTTGCACCCTAACTGTAAATGTGCATGTTGCATTTCTTTCTTTCTTTCTTTCTTTCTTTCTTTCTTTCTTTCTTTCTTTTGCAAATCTGTGGGCTTTCCCAATGATTATGCTAGCCAACATTTTGCATTGCCATTACAATTGCCCACAGAATTTGCTGATGCAGTGGACAAGACTAAAAAGATAAGGAAATGGAAAAGGAAATGAGAATTTGGTGTGATGTGGAAGTCTACTACTGTATTTACATTCATATTATTTTGAAGGGCTTTGTTTTTCTTGCTGTGAAAGACAACGAAACTTTAACATTTTTCTTTCATGCTTCCAATTTCACAGTGTACAGAATGTTATAGACAACACAGGGTCAGTTTTCCTATGACAAGATTAGTCCAGAAATTACAATGCCTTTTGCACCTCTTTTTTTTCTTTTCAAATGTGCAGGTTGAACAGGTGGTAAATAAGCACACATGCAGGCAGTACTTTCTTAAAACAACACCAGCAGCCAAAACAACAGAAGCTAAGATTGCAAAACAGATAAATAACAGACTACTAAACAGGAGAGCATAGCTCAGAGAAATAATATTGAAGACAAAATGTTACAGGAGATCCAGGGGCACTGCTGAAAGTGACATTTCACTTGAAAGTGGATGGACTTGATGCCATTTTTTCTGGTATCCCCATGTCTACCAGAACACGTAATTCCACCCCAAGCAATGACATATTTTGTATCCCTGTAAATATAATGGGAATATGTTCGGGAATCCCAATTGTGACATAGAATTACCATATATTATTCAGAACATTAGAGACTTGTCTGCCCAAGGTATTACTGTGGAGCTAACAAACCACACATATTTCACTTTAGATTCAATAAATCATTGAGGATCCTGGGAACAACAACAGCAATCTTGATTTAAAAGCAACCTGCATCACCAATCAGAACCCAGTTTCTGTGTGGTTCAACTCAATAGGGAAGCTTGATAATAAATTCTTTCACATGCAAAAAAATGGGCTCATAGAGTTGACCCCCAACTTAAATGAATGGACAGGTGCCCTGTGGATGGAACAGAATCTCTCCTATGGAGGTAATTGCCAGATCAGGTTGCACAATTTTGTTTCCCAGGGTTGTGAGATGGAGGTGGGTTGTTAGCTGTTTGTGCCAAAAGCCTGTTGAAAGAGGCTTAATCTTATTTACAATATCCAGATCCCAGATCTACTCCACCCCCCTCATAAACACTCCCTGACTCCCACCATCATACCATGCACATCACAGTGGTACTTCTAGTTATGAACTTAATTCATTCTGGAGGTCCATTCTTAACCTGAAACTGTTCTTAACTAGAGGCGTGCTTTCGCTAATGGGGCCTCTTGCTGCTGCTACACCCGGCACATGATTTCTGTTCTCATCCTGGGGCAAAGTTCTCAACTTGAGGTAACTCTTCCAAGTTAGCGGAGTTTGCAACCTGAAGCGTTTGTAACCTGAGGCTTTTGTAGCTCGAGGTACCACTGTATTGTTTTCCATGAATCTTAAAACTCTTTCCCAATACACACATACATACCAACCTTGGATAATATTATTAAATCTTGGGGGAAATGCAATAAATTATACACTATTCTCTCTCTCTCTCTCTCTCTCTCTCTCACACACACACACATCTTAGAATTTGAGATGGTCTTTTCAGATAATAATTATAGTTACTGTTGCAAAAGGGCAGAGCAAAATATAATTATGCACAGATGTGAGTGATCCGTTTTGCTCAAGGAAACGTATTAAGCTGGTCATGAGTCTGTAACCTCAAAGCAGATGGAGCATATGTCCTATTTAGCTGCTTCTCTGTGCACCTTTTGCCCCCAACGCTTACTGGTTGTGCCTGCTAAAATTATCAATGAGGGGCCAGGTCACCAGGAAATGAATTGTGCGCATTTGCCTTCTCTGCTGGAACAGCTAAATTTGTTGTTAGCTTGCTTGTTCAATTTTCCCGAGACAAAACAATTCTCAAGTGTGTTGGGCTTCTTTTCAGGATCCTTTGTTCACTAAATGTGTGCCTGGTGTATGCTCCATCAGTTTAAAAGCCAAGTGGTTTTGCAATATCAGAATTAAAATGGAAACATTTCTTTTGTGAGATTGTAGGTATGGAATGGGGTCGTTATATGGAAGAAGCCTCATGTTACATGTTTGTACATGTTTGTTCTGGATATCTAAAAAACATGAAGACTGGCCCCTGCTTCAGACTGTGTGACATCGTGTACATTGGGTTGCCTTGAATTTTAATCCAAATTTATTTCCAAAAATGTATAGTCATATTTACAGTCAACAGAAACATTTATACATGCAGGCAGTATTAAAACTAGTATTAAACAATATTGCATTTTATACTGTCAACACCTGCCTTGGGACCTTACGGCGAAGAGCAGGTAACAATAGCAGCAGCAGCAACAACAACAACAACAACAACAAAAACAACAACAGCCTGTGTGAGAATTATGTTAGGTGCATCTTTATCTACAGAGACAAATGAAGGATAGCATTGTGGGGGAAAGAGGGACTAAGACAGGGAAAAAATGTTTTAAACCATTCATCTCATACCATAAGAGTGCATTTAGGTTGTTTTTTTTGTTTTTTTTTTTTAAAAAAGTGCATCACTTTGTGCCATTGCTTACCTAATGCAGAATTAATAATGAATCTGCAAAGGAACAAATGGAAGAACCTGCAGCACACGTCCGAATTTCTTCTTTGAAGTTAGGTCACCTTAATCAGGGCCACCTGATAGTTGAGCTAACATATGAGTCACTGCTGGAACCATGAACTAATATATTAGTATATTTTAATGTTATTTAACATTCATAACACCTTGGAAGTATTGGGGAAGTACTGGTTTGTTCAAAGCAACACTTTGATTAGGGTGCTTCCAGATGAAGACTTTATGTAGCAAAAAGGCCATTCAGATCTGATTCCTGTGTATGATTGGCATGATTTTTTATTTTATTTTTAGATTTACCTTTTTCATAGGTATCTGGCTATTCCCCATCCACACCAGTTAGCAGTCCTGGGTGGAGTGTTTTCTGTGTCCTCCCCTCCATCACTACTCTCCTGCCCTTCACTGCCTTTCCCCATTCTGAGCATACATTTCATCTTTATTTTCTCACAAAGGAAATATTTCCAGCCCCTAGTTACCATGTTTCTCTTGTTCTTTTTGTGTGCATGGTGGTGGTGGGAAGACAACAACTCAGAGCTACCAACTTTCTGATAAAGAGCTCTAGAACTCAACAGGTGGCACTGTGATCTAAACCACTGAGCCTCTTGGGCTTGCTGATTGGAAGGCCGACGGTTCGAATCCCCGCAATAGGGTGAGCTCTGTTGCTCTGTCGCAGCTTCTGCCCACCTAGCAATTCGAAAGCACACCAGTGCAAGTAGATAAATAGGTATCACTGCGGCAGGAAGGTAAACGTTTCTGTGTGCTCTGGCACTCGTCATGGTGTTCCATTGCACCGGAAGTGGCTTAGTCATGCTGGTCACATAACTAGGAAAGCTGCCTGTGGACAAATGCTGGCTCCCTCAGTCTGAAAGCGGAGATGAGCACAGCACCCATAGTCGCCTTTGACTGGAGTTTAAAGGACATGGGGTTCTTTACCTTTACCTAGAACTAGTAGTGGCTGAGCCCCATTGCAACGGGCAGGAAAGCTAACAGTAGCCGGAGCCACAGGCAGTGAGATGCAGAGCCAAGTAAGTCTAGTTTTGTACCCATCCCCATCCTCCTCCCAGCTGAGTTCTAAAAAGACCACACTGACACTGTGGATGAGGAAACTAACAGGTGGTGTAAGTAAGGAGAAGTAAAGCAGGAGGGGGCTTACTAAGGTTGGTTGGGCACCATCCCAAGATTTATGAATGAAGGACGGTATACAAAATGAATGAATGAATGAATGAATGAATAGCTCTAATGGGACAACCTCTACTGCCTGGACCTCTGTACCACCACTATTATTATCCCAATGCATGTTTGTATTGAAGTTATAGACTCCAAGCCTCTAATGTGTTGAGATCCTGAGAAGATAGCTGGGTTTTAAAAATTCCTGTGTGACTTCCACATGCAGAAATAGGCAGGGGTTTTTTGGGTTGCCAGAAACAAGACAGCTGTGTTCATGGGACAAGCAACTCAAAGCAGCGGGTTGTGGCAATACAGATCACCCCTTCCTACAGTAGTGGTGGTGACGGCAGATGTTGATCAGATTTTTATTGCTTAACACATTTTGCTGTGGTAAGAGAAAATGCAGATTCAATTTATGACAGTGTAAAAGAATTGAGTGAATGAAGAACATCTGGAAGCATCCTTGGTTCTGAAATGACCAAACAGCAAGGTAGCTGTCAACAATTGACAGTAAATAAAGAATAGTGGACATTCTGTTGGCTATGTTCATTTTCCTGCAAATATGCAGCCTGAGAGCCACAAAAGATTTACTTGAAAGACGTACATTAATGAGCCATATAAATTATCTGTCTGTCTGTCTGCCTCTCTCTCTCTCTCTCTCTCTCTCTCTCTGTGTGTGTGTGTGTGTGTGTGTGTGGAGGAAATGTATGTATATGTGTAGGAAATTGGCCTACTCTTTGTCTCATTCAGCCATGAATATCTAACACATCAATTATGCCTAGAGGGGCATTCCATGCATAAAAAGTAGCCGTTATGGAGCTGAAATCATCTTATATTTAAAGCATGCTAATGTACTTAAGAATCCGTTAGCTTTTCACATTATCCCCATTTTCAGGGGGTTTATGACCAAGCTCTAAAAATTCATTGCAGACTGAATTCTTTCCCTTTATAAATGCAGATAACTGCATGTGTGTGTGTGTGTGCGCGCGCGCGCACGCACACACACACACACACAGACACACACACAAATCTTTTATGATCTTTGAAAGGGAGCCAGTAGTACTGTCTCTTATTCTAGCAGTGACAAGAAAATAAAATGTTACACAACCAGAAGAGCTGGCATTCCTACCACCTACCTGGGCCCCATCTGCACTATGCATTTAATGCAGTATCCTACCCCTCTAAACAAACATTACTTCCTGCAAAGGATCCTGAGAACTGTAGTTTGTTAAGAGTGCTGAGAGTTGTTTGGGAGACCCTTAGTCCCCTCACTGAGCTACAATATCCGTAGTTTCCAGGAAAGATGAATTGGTTGTTAACCAACTCTGAGAACTGTAGTGCTATGAGGGGAGCAAGTTTCCTAACAACTCTCAGCACCCGTAATAAACTACAGTTCTCATGGTTGATGGAAGTAATGACTCTCTGACAACAGCAGCTCTGTGAGGGAAGCAAGTGTCTCATAACAACTCTAAGCACCCTTATCAAATTTCAGTTTGCAAGTTTTTGTGGGGGTAAGCCATGGCTTTTTAAAGTGGTATGATACCACTTTAAACATATAATGCAGATGGGGCATCAGTACAGATGATCTGACTTAATGGTGACTTCTTTTGCTTTTGTAGCCTGTCCAAAGGGGAACTGATGTTGCCTTTTGATTTCCATTTGATCTTTCCTTTTCCTCTGCAGCACAATAAAGGATGATGCCACTTTTAGATGTTGACATTTTAGCTAGGCAAGATGGCTTTTCAGTGTTCTGCAAAAAAATGATGAAAGCTTAATGAAAGTTATTTTCTCATAATAGTTCCAAATTGGTTCTCTTGTCTGAGCAGAGCTGGCCTGTGGATTGGGTTTGAACTTTTGCCCTGTCTCGGTAATCCAAAACTGGTCCCAGTAAATGCAAGAAGCAGCCTAAATGTGAAGCTTTGAGGAAATCCAGAGCTGATTTGCTCTGAATGTAGTTCACAAAAGGGAAGGGAGGCATTATTATAAAGAGACAAAGGACTGGAATTCCAAGCTGTAATACACTGAAAGATAGAAATCCGAAATTGCCTGCCCCCCCCCCCCCCCGATAGATAGGAGGATCACAAGTGCAACAGAGCAAAAAAGAAGGAACTGAATTCTGCAGTCTGGGCTAAAGTTTCTCCATTACCCAAATTGGGACCTCAAATAAATTATTACATTAAGCTCATCGTAACACAGCGTGGTGCCTATTTCATGACATTCTAGTAGCTGTGTGGGGGTGGAATAGGAGAGCACCCATTAAACAGCTTACCTGGCAGAAAAGTTAAGGGTAATTAATAAACCACTTTACAGTTCAGAGTTCAGAGTTTTATTGCTTCATCCTGTTCTTCATTATAAATTGCATCGTAAAAAGACAATAGAATCTATTCACACCTTGATGCACACACCTGAATTTCATTAGTGCATATGGAAGTTATGCATATATACATTAAGGACCCAATAAAAATTTTCACTTGATCTCAAGCACCAAAATCTGCTCTGCAGGGTGGGTGGGTGGGTGTTGCACATATATATATGGGGTGGGGTGGGGAATTAAAGCAGTTATGAAATGGAGGGGTTTTTCTACATAAGATTGAATCTGGATGATTGATAGAGCTTGAAAGTTGACCTCACCATTAAGCTGTGGCAGAGTTTCTCCTCTCCATGATGCCTTCCAACTCCAAACCCTTTCTGCTACCTGATACAGACCTATTTCTTTAATGAACATCTTCAAAAAATATAGTTTGCTTGTTTCAGCAAAACAGGAAAAAGTGATAGCTAGAAATTTAAATCAAAATGAAGTATGGAGAGCATATCAGGATAGAGTGGAAATGCATGTTTTGAACCCATGTTAGATGATTTATCTAACCATTACCATTGCTTAATAAGTGTCTTGCTGGATTGGATCATAGCCCATCTAACCCAGAATTACGTTGTTTCAAGCAAAAATAATATATAAAAAGAATTCCTGGATGCCAAGATCCAAGTTTGGGGCAAGTACTTTTGGTGAGAGAACCCCAGCAGAGTTAACATGGCAACATATAGGCTGTCAAACCTTAAGATGTTTCCTTTAAAGTGAGTTACAAAGTTCCTCTATTCCTTAGTACAGAAAAAGGCCACACATTTGGCATGTTAAAAATGGTGTCCTTGCAAACTCTCCAAAGGTCAGATTCATGTATTTTCCCATACAACGTATTTAAAAAGTTGCACAGACAGTAAAACTTGGCTTAGTTACAAAATGGTGAAAGTTCCTAAATAGGAACTCAAGAGTGGCTTGTGGAAGCCATGCAAGTGGAATCTACACACATATAAAAAATACTGTGAAAATGCTTTTTTTAAAAAATGTGTTGAAAAATACATTGAATTTGGCATAGCTCATTGTTGCCATCTAGTGTCATATTTGTATCTTGCACTTTACAACACATTTTTTTTTTTTTAATTTGCAGCTGTATAGCTGAGTCCACAGTCTGAGCTGGAGCAACCAGCTCACAAATCTTTACACACTGAGCTGGGGGAGAACAATAGGCCTGATTAACTATTTCCTTCCAAGGTAACGGGGCATAGCTAAGCCTGGCAGGACAGCTTACTCTATGGTATTAACCCCTTCAAGCATTAATTAAACTTAAGCATGTTGGCTTATATGGGCTGGCTATCCCACACATTCTTTGAAAGACTCACATCAGCCACCACAAACTGGCAACTAATCAACACCCCTTAAGACAGAGTGAAATGGTTGCTCACCTTAAATAAGCAGCTAATTATGTTTCTTATCTGGAATTATCAAATTAAGAATGTAGATTTAGGAAATGCAGTAATACCCTATTGCCTGTTTACCAAAAATGGTTGGGGTAAATAAAGCATTCGGCATTGCCAGTGGAGCACAATTGTATAGATGGTTAAACAAAGTTTGCTTCCGTGGACATTAGCTGTTTGCAAAAAGCATTATGAAAAATAGGATACACAACAGGGCACGCATACACACACAGATATATATCTGCTGTAAAATAGGAAAATTATGGTAGATTGTTAATTTATAAATAAATATTTTAAAAGAAAGAATAAAATTAAAATGGTATAAAAACTTTGATAAAATAAAATAAAGTCCCACTGAAATCAGTTGAGGTTATTTTTTTTAGTAAACATAGTAAGTAAAGATCAGGCAGCAAAGTTGGATGGAATTTGTAATGTGACCGATCAAATTATCTCTCTGGGATTTTTAGCTGTTGCTTTAATGTCTTTGGTGTTCAAATGAAAAGTATCTGTTCCGAACCAGCCTGTTTTATTCATCTCTGTGTATCATCATCTAAGGACATCAGCATGTTGTTTACCGTATTAGACTCTGATTGCCCTCATTTTACTCTAAGCCTCTTAGTTCATTCCCATTAGTAGATGTCAATCTATTTTTACTCAACATCGTCAATGTGACTACATAGCAGCTTTGGCAAAATCCAGCAAATTATGCTCCAGATCATTTAGGAAATGTCTGTATTTCATTGAAATGAAGGGGGGGGCAGTTTCAGTGCAGCTGTAAAATTTCAATGGCTGTCAAAATGCACTTTTCTTTCTTAGACTTATGCTCTTACATTCTACTGTGCAGTCTTGCTTATATGTATGGATTTTATTACATTTGCAATTTATTACATTTGGAAGTTCAGTCCTGTGTACATAGGAGGTGATCCTCTATCCACTGCACCTTATTGCCTTTAATAATAGATTAATTGTGAGCAGCTATGACAGTAAGATTGTCTAGTCCCCTGGCCCATTACAAGCATAATAGTTGTTGTTGCTGTTGCTGCTGTTGCTGCTGCTGTTGTTGTTGTTCACAGTAAACCATGGCCTTGTACCTTGAATATGACTTGTCATGAAGCTGGCTGTGGAGAAGGACCACAGTTCCTGGTCCCATTTACAGTGTCAACATCCCTGCTTAACTCTGTGAATTCCATGGAAGGCCTGTGCATGTAGAGCTTTATGTACGCAGTTTCCATCCTGCAATTGGTTAGGAACCCCTGGGAATCATGCAGGCCTCCTGATCATGCAGATAAGTCTATGCACATACAGCTGTTCATGTTTAAGTTCACTGCTTTGGAACTTCCATGGAGGAACATAATGTACAAAGCTGCCTTTTATTAAGTCAGACTACTAGTCCATCTTGCTCAATATTGTCTACAGCAGTTGGCAGTGTCTCTTCAGGATTTGAAGCTGGAACCTCTACCAAGTCTTACTTGGAGATATCGTGGATTTAACCTGGGACCTTCGGCATGCAAAGCACATGCTCTATTACTGAGCAGTGGCCCTTTTCTTAATTCAGGAGCTGCTGGGAGGTATGCATTTAGAGCTTGGTCAGTCGAAGACATTTTGCTGCCTAATGCAAAATTGAAGATAATGTCCTCCCATTTTAGAGTACAGTAGCCCATTACAGTGCCACTTGAATCTTTAACACTGGTAATGGGATGGTATTTGTCTTAGGGTAACTGGGCAGCTTAGGAGGAACAAGGGAAATCATATGTAGGACAGCAAAACGCCTCATCCCAGCGCCCTGCCACTCAGCACCTACTTCATATGCCTGCCACATTCTGCCAAGTGGTGTGATTTGCTCCCCTTTCATTCATTCAATGAATGCATGAAACACTTTTGAATATGGCCTGTAAAGTATATAGGAATTTGAGAATTGCTTGCAGGTAAACCTCCACTTGGACTTAGCGTATCAACAGCCACTTATGAATCATGAGACTGTATTTAAAAATGATTGATTGAATTAGCAAGCAGGGAGTTTTTTATTTAGACTAGCATTCTTACTAAATGGTTTGTTTAACGTGGCAGTGTTAATATGAGAATATTGCTGCATTTCCTAAGGATATATTTTGTTGCCTGGTAATACACAGTGGAGAAATTCATTTAATGTTCAGCAAACATAGGCAAAGGAGTAATTTATTCAAATCCAGAATTTTTTTGAATCAGGGTTTTACTCTCTCTTTTCCCATTGGGAGAAAAAAAAATGCACTGTTATGAGTTTTTGGGAAAGGCTGTATGTGAGATGCTTCTAACCCCTGGATTCAGCAAGTGTTAAAATATAAGCCAGGCTAGCTTCCTGGTGGTGATTGTCTGGGTGATGGACCATTACGAGAATAAAGGAAAGTGAGTTCTGTGTGATATGGCAAATAAGTCGTGTCCCTTCCTCAACCCAGAAATAGTTAGAAAGACAAATCCCGAGTTTAGAGTTGAGTTGTAGTGAAGTGGGCCAGAAGCAAAGTAGAGCAGAGAGCCATGCCAGATCTCTGCTTGAATCCAAGGCTGCAGCTGTGGGAGAAACAAGATCCTTGTGGGTGTCAGTGCTGTGAGCCCCTCCATAATAGGCTCAGGTTGCATGTATGTGTAAATAAACCGTATATCATAAAGACACAACAGTCTCCGCTGTACGACATTTCCAAAAAGGAAATATGAACCAGGTAAGTGCCTGGAAACCCTGGAATCTCAAACCACTTAGAGGTTGGGGTGGCATGCTACAGTGATTTTTTAAAAATTTGCTCTGACTACTGAAATGGACTTTGAAAAAATTAAGACGAATCACTTGTCACTGGGAAAGTGATAAGGTAATTCTGACACAGCCTGTCTCTCTCTTTTTAAAGTATCTGCAGCTATATTAGTGATTGCAAAAATTGGAAAACTTTAAACGCAAATATTTTTAAAGCCTGGCTTTCACATGTATGGGACATCGTGCTTATAGACAGATGAACCATTTTACAAAAGGAATATCTATCTTGGGTGTGGGGGGGGGGAGACTCATACCTTCTATAGGACATGGTAGCCTTCTATTGATTTTGTTAAGACAATTAAGCATGGTTTTCACCGTCCATCGACTCTTGGAACCTTATGGAGAGATACTTTCATTTGATTGCCTTTTTTCGAATATCTAAAACTACATCGGCTGCTATATTTTCCTCCCTTTTCTATAAATCTACTAAGCTCTGTTTTCCTTGTATGGGTATGTTTTGTTGCATGAAATTAAATACCAATTAAAAAAAAGCAATGCCAGAAGCTGTGAGCCAAAAGAACAATGAATACATTTCCCCTTTTTGTGTGGGTTGTCCAGAAGGGATTTATGCTTCTGCCTTTTACTTTTTTTTTTTGTTTTTTAAGAGTTTGTTGTCATCACAAAACACACACCCCTTTCAAGATAAATAACAAATGGCTAATATTTTCTGCATATTTATATAATGCATATGAAAGTGATGAATATTTTTACAGGGGTAACTGCTTTCCTTCCTTTTGAGGAATTGTTTCACTTATTTCTGATCTTCAGGCACAGAGGGTCATTGCTCATGTCACCAAAACAGTGCCACTCACATAGAAGAAACTCCCAAGGATTGCAGAAGTAGTGGTCAGTTCTCCTTATTTAGCGAACCAGAGCAGCACATGGAAATGCTGTTTACCTTCCCCCCAGAGTGGTTCCTATTTATCTACTTGCACTTTGACATGCTTTCGAACTGGTAGGTTGGCAAGAGCCAGGACCGAGCACCCCATCACTAAAACAGGCAGAAAAACCATCAAATGGCCATGAAGACCCTCACCAATTTTGAAATTGTCCATCAGTCGGAAAGGTCACTCCCACTGGTTTATAGAGTCATAGAATTGTAGAGTTGGAAGAGACCACGAGGATCATCTACTCCAACCCCCTGCAGTGCAGGAATATTTTGCCCAATGTGGGGTTGAACCTACAACCCTGAGATTAAGAGTCTCATTTACTGCTGTAGTCCCTACGCTAGCTGATGTTCATGGACAGCAAAGGTGTTCATCTGCAAACAGCAAGGAGCCTTTTCCACTCACATAGGCTCTCTCTAGGATGTAGAACTCCAACTCACACAGGCACCCCGCTCCAGATGGTTGCCCTCCAACCTGTGGGAAGAGATGTTCATATGGGGGTGGGGAAGATCGGGTGCCCTAATTTCCACTCTCCCCTCTTGCATATTAATTTAATCCAGAATATGAATGCTTGAATAGGGTTTCACAGAGCTCAGCATCAAATACTGAGAGGCATATCATTCTTTGCTATCGTGATTAACAGCTGATGACAGACCAATCCATCCAATGAATTTGTCTAATCATGTGAAAAAGGCCATCTAATATCCCAGCTTCTGCTTGCAGTTGACGTGCCAATACACTCTTCCCCCCGCCCCACACTGAGTAGAATGAACATTACCCACATCTGGGCCTACTGCAGCATTTTTTAAGTTTGGTCGTTGGCTTTTATTTTAATTTTGTATGGCTTGGGAGGGAGGAAAAAAATTGAAAGGTAAGCATCCTCTAAAACATTAGTTCCATATTCATAAAGGGGAAAAAAATGAGTTGTGCATTCAAATTACTGAATGCTTCTTTTTATAAATACGAGTGGCTCCTTAATTATGAACTATTATTGTAATAAATGTTCCAATCAGCTCAACATTTGATTTCAGCCCACTAAATGAAACCCTTTATACAGGAGCCAAATGGATATAGGACTTAGGCTGTGCTATTCATTTATACTCTGTGGGTGGGGTGGGGGGTTGGGAGTTCTACTGTGACAAAAAAAGGGGGGAAGGGGACAACAGAGAACAACATATAGGTTGCCAATCCTCAATAAATTTTCTTTGCATTCCTCCAAAGACATTCTGGGTTTTTTATGAGGTAGGAACATTGTTTCCAGAAATAATGTTAAGATAAACAACTGATTTGAATATTCTAATAGAGCAGGATAAGAGCATGAGGGGCAGGGGACCACCTTACTTTTGTCTGCCTCTTGACTCTTCCAGCATCCAGCTTCAATATTGGCTGTTATAATAAAAAATAATATTAATAAAAATAATTAATTAAAATTGTGTGTGTGTGTGTGTGTGCGCGCGCACACCCACACCCACACACACACACCCACACACACAAAATTTGTAGGATTTTAAATATCTATATTAGGCACATATGTTATACACCAAGATTTATATTTGAAGGGGGAATACACTGTGTTTGAGACAACTCGCTAGGGTTGCCATATTTCAAGAAGTAAACATCCGGACACAAAAAGTTGTTGAGTTGTTGAGCTTTTTTTTAAGGAAAGTTGTTGAGCCAACCCCAGACTTTTTGCTGATATCCTGAAATCACCCCCCCCCCCCCGACATTTATTCCGTCACTGGAATCCCATACATGTTCAGAGAAATCTGGATATATGGCAACTCTACTCTAGGCCTGGTGGAACGCTCTGCCTCATGAGACCAGGGCCCTGCAGGATCTGACTTCTTTCCGCAGGGCCTGTAAGACAGAGTTGTTCCGCCTGGCCTTTGGCTTGGAGCCAATTTGACTCCCTCCCTCTCTTTCTTTTTTCTTTTCCTTCTCCTCCTGCGATGAGGCTACATTTTAATATTTTAATGTTCCAATATTTTAATGTTGTATTTTAATTTTGTTTTTAAGTTGTAATCATTCAACTTATTTTTATTATTGCTTGTTAGCCGCCCTGAGCCCGGCCTTGGCTGGGGAGGACGGGGTATAAATAAATTATTATTATTATTATTATTATTATTATTATTATTTAGACTGGATAGTTTTACAGAGAAAAAACAATCAAAGCTCAGTGCTCATAGTGGACAAGTGACCAGAGTAGACCTAAGCTCTGTGTTTTTTATGACTGTTCCTTTTAGCTACAGCTATTTATAAGGTATCATTTGGCTAAAATTGGAAGTCCTTGTGTGGGGCCTGTGGATTTCATTAAGCCTACAGAATTCCCTTTACCTTTACCTGGGCCTTTGATGATTAAGGAATTATTTTTGTGGGGAGCACCTCTATACTGTTCTGTTTTTGTTTGCAACTGTATTACTTATTTTTATAATTGTCTGATTATAATATTGCAATATACTTTGCGACCTTATCTTGATCAGCAGTTATGAAATATTAGAAATTAATAAATAAACAAATGAAGATTCACCCTTAGCTGAAACACTATACAGGCTGAACTTTTGTTTGCTTTATTTTTATTCAGACTTGGTTTTAGAAATACTGTGTTTCTTCCTGAATAAGACTTCTCAAAATCCTGGGCCATGATATGTTGAATAATAAAACCAAGAGATGAGCATTCATTAATACACATTCATGAATTAGAAGGAAGCTTGAAGAATTTCATCCTTGCAAACCCTGATACAAATTGACTTGAACTGGATGTTGCACTGGAGTTCTCTGTTCAAAATATGAACCAAAATTTACTTTAAAAAGACCTATTTTGAGATTTTGTGTGTGTGTGTGTGTGTGTGTGTGTGTGAAAGAAAATGCATTTAAATGCAACTTTTCAATTTAAAAAACAACAACAGCTGATTAATGCAGAAATAGGATTGAGTAGATTTATGAGTGAACACATGCAAAAGTGACATGGACAAGAAATTGATTGATCTGGCAATCCCTATGTATGAATCTCTTTCTCTTTTAAACACACACACATACATCCTTCTGAGATGTTAAGAAAAACCAAATAAAGCCTCTCTGGGGCATTCAATAAAGCCTAGTAAGAAAATGAGGGAATATCAACCTGAATATAATGATAATACAAAACAGTGATAAAAAGAGAACTGCCAAATCAATCTGATACTCACCGCTCCAAACATCCAAATTGTGCTTGTGGGGAAAGCAGTAACAAAAGGTGGTGATCAAACTCTAATCTCACATAATATATACCTAGGCTGGATGTTGTGGAATGCTCCTATTAACTGGAGCGAGATAGGTGGTATCGTTTGCAGGCTCTTCAGGTAATTGGGGGAGATGGCTTCTCACTGGTTTACAGTCCTAATAGGAATGTGGGGACATGGCAATAAAAATCACAGCTTTCCATAAAGAAACTGCTACAGTTCCTGCTGGAAATTCATTTTCTCCCCCAAAATAAAAGAGCAGACACTTGGCAAAGAAATATCAGCATATTTAAAAGTACTGCAATCCACCCCTGGAGGGCTACTTGGAGTCCAAAAGAGGAAGGTCAGAGAGGGAGAGAGGGGGGGAGAGACGTCTGTACACAAAGGCTTGGATGGGTATCTCAAATCATGAAGAGAAAGGAGGCTCTGCAACTCTCAGCAATGTGCACCTCTTCCCTAAGATCACCCCCCTCAATTTCCCATTGAACCCTCTCCTCCTCATTGTTCTGGACCACTCTCCATGCCAGGTTGACCCTTACTTCTTGTCATCTCTTTTCCCCATTCCTTTGGGCCATTTCTTTTTCCAAGTTGACTCATCTCTCTAGTCTTCTCTTCTTCCTATTCCTATTCCTCGGAACGCTCTTTCTTGCAGGTCTTATCCCCCCCCCACTGCTTCCCATGATGCCCTGCTTTCTCAGAACCTACCTTCTCACCTACCAGCTCCCTACTCCTAACTATGCTTTCCTAAGTCATTTTGTATGCTCTGATAATGCTACCCTCAGACCAGTTAGTCTATTTCTAAACAAACTTCCTGGTACTTTTAGAGTAGTTCAGCCAGCTTCACTGCCACCATACACGTTTCTAGATCGTTTTACACGGACAGAATTTTGGTTTCAAAAAACACAATGTATCCTCTAGGGCAGGACACGGGTGGCACTGTGGGTTAAACCACAGAGCCTAGGACTTGCCGATCAGAAGGTCGGCGGTTCAAATCCCCGGGACAGGGTGAGCTCCCGTTGCTCGGTCCCTGCTTCTGCCAACCTAGCAGTTCGAAAGCACATCAAAGTGCAAGTAGATAAATAGGTACCGCTCTGGTGGGAAGCTAAACAGCGTTTCCGTGCTGCTCTGATTTGCCAGAAGCGGCTTAGTCATGCTGGTCACATGACCCAGAAGCTGTATGCCGGCTCCCTCGGCCTGTAAAGCAAGATGAGCGCCACAACCCCAGAGTCGGCCATGACTGGACCTAATGATCAGGGGTCCCTTTACCTTTTATCCTCTAGGGCAGACATGGCCAAACTTGGCCCTCCAGCTGTTTTGGGACTACAACTCCCATCATCCCTAGCTAACAGGACCAGTGGTCAGGGATGTTGGGAATTGTAGTCCTAAAACAGCTGGAGGGCCAAGTTTGGCCATGCCTGCTCTAGGGTATCTTTAGGTGAAGTATGCCTATGAGACTAGAAATGCCCACAGGGCTGATCTATAACATTAAAATAAATGGAAAGGTTAATGTTACAGACTACTGGAGCCCATTCAATATATTGCAGTGGAATTGGTTGTGGCAGGGGAACTGCCTGAGGAGGATCCATATTGTCCCATTGCAACAGGGCAAACCCCCCCCCCCCCCCACACAAAAACAAGACACCACAGAGGATGCAGCTCACCAGTGCCTGTAGGTATGGATTGTCCCCAGGCTGGACTGATTGCTTTGGTATCAAGGTCATGTCCACACCATAAATTTTAAGCACTGTTTTAACATGCATGGCTTCCCTCAAAGAATCATGGGAACCGAGGTTTGTTATGGGTGCTGAAAGTTATTAGAAGACCCCTCACAGTGCTACAGTTCTCAGGACCCTTAACAAGCTGCAGTTTCCAGTATCCTTTGGAGGAAGCCATAGCTCTTAAAGTAGTATAAGAGTGCTTTAAATGTATGGTGTGTGTGATTATTGGGACCAGGCACCAGCAATTCACCTGTCCTTTCAGAGGGACTTCAACACACACACACACACACACACACACTCCTGTATTGGGAGATCTTTATGGACATCTCTAATTTGAATGCATAAGCTGATTTGGATCAGCAATGAAATTAAAATAGAAAAGTTAAGAATACATCTCAAGTGTGCTCCTCACCATCAGCTTTAATTTGTTGGTGCATCCACTGTAGAACTGGATCGCTTTATTCAATTTCCAATATTTAGACCATCTCTCTTCACAACTAATTGGGTATTACTTACCTGCAAAATGAGATCTTTAAATCATATACACCTCTGTCCAGTGCCTTAATGACTTCTCTTTTTATGCCCAAGCATGTGTGGGTTCTAACAACCATAAGGATTTGTTTTAATGGAGGCAATATCAACCTGGACTGGTTTTTAAGCCAACGCTGATTGATTTAACACGTTTGATGTATTATAAATCACACAGGAATAAAAATCACAGTGAAAATTCCATTAAACTTCTGAGGCAAAAAGGATTCATAAATAAAACAGAATGAAATGCTAAGACAGCTGTGATATGCTGTTTCTTTATCTTTTAAAACTTAGATTTAAGTTTGTTGCCAGGATCAGTTTAACAAGTTAAAAGAAACAGTGAGGAATAAACACACTTTCTTACAGTTTAATTCATGTCCCCAGATTTTTTTTTTAAAAAAACAACAACAGTAAACACCCTTTTTGGGCCTGGAGTTTTGCTGTGTGCTTTTGAGATGAGATCTAAGCTTCATGGTTAGGTTTAATTTATTTTTTGTAATGTAAATCACTTTGAGTTACCTTTGTAAGAAAAAGCAACGAACAAAATAAGTAATAATACAATAATTATTGCTAACTCAGTTAATATGCAAGCAGAAGGTAATTTCTTTCAAATGAAATTGTTTATTATTGATTTTGCCCTTATACATAGCTTTCCCAATTTTCAAATAAGAATGAATTCCACTATTCCTAGTGAACAGGAAGGGGGTGGGGAGAGAAAGCACTATAGAGATGGGAGAAACTGTCAGCTTTGGTTTCTTTCCATTTCTCCACACTTCCATGTAAGTTTCCAAAAAGAAAATTCAGAAAAAGAACAGTCCTCCTGAAAATTCATCAACGTTTAATATGAATTTCTCATGTACATATTTGCATATAATTTCTACCTAATGAACATATTTTTAAAAAGCAACACATTTTGTATGTAATTTCTTTTCACTAAATTATTCCTTTGTAATGTACACTTCATCCTAATAAGTCCATTTTTGCATACATTGGCTGGAGAACTGCATTGCAAAAGTCAGAGAATTACAGATTCAAGAGAATGTTTGCGTATTGTTTCAGAAAGTGTGAATTGCATGTGCCAGCCTCAAAATACTCTCCCCTCCCTAAAGGATTGCAAGAGGAGTGCTGCCCCTTTTTTTTACTTTCTACCTGCTGGTCGGAGCCTGCAGGGCACTGAATGCAGCAGTTCAATTGTGTTTGGTTCCCTGTGACCCTGCTGTCTTTAGAATTGAAGCCTTAACTGTATTGTCTGCTAGGATTTGAAAAAGGTTTCCTCTGAAGAGAGATTGATTGCCAAACCACTCTGGGAACTGAAGCTCGGGGAAGGGAGTAGGGCTCTCCTAACAACTCTCAGCACCCATGGCAAACTACAGCTCCCAGGATAACAGTTTAAAATGGTGTGATACTGATTGAAATGTATAGTACAAATAAGGCTTAATGGGGTGAAAGCTCTCTACAAGTGATCAGTTCAGACCTGTGGTAAGAACCAGGGGTGCCAACTTGAATAAAATATTTGGGGGGGACAGGCAGGTAAGCCCCACTCCACCTAAATGACCTTGTGACATGGCACACCCATTTGAATGACAATGCCCATCCACTTTGGGGACCCCAGCCCTCTCAAATATTTTTATTGTGGAGGATGAAGACCCCTCAGCCCCTAGGAGTTGGCTTCTATAGTAAGAAACATCTGTTCCTTCTCTTGCAGCACACTGGGAGGGAAAGAGTAAGAAAGGATGGCAGGGGGGGAAAGGAGAGAGTAAGAGTAAAAGAGACAGCAATAAGAGAAAGAGAGAAAATGGTTCCCCCTTAAGGGTTCCTCACTGTTTACTTCTTCATTTGACTCCATGCAACATCAGCTGCCGGCCCATGTATGACCCACATCCAGCCCTTGCCATATTAACACCTGCAATAAAAGAAATTTCTCAGCCCTTCCCTAAGCCATCTAGAATTCCTACTGAACAGAAACTTGACAGTAGATCTTTTATTTCCTAACTCAACACTCAGCCACTATGGCTGAATATGGCCATAATAGCATAAGAATATGCCTTATACCATGCCAGATCATTGTTCTATCTAGCACAGTATGATCTTCAGTGACTGGCAGCATGTCTCCAGGGTTTCAGGCCATAACTCACATTCCCACATCATCACACACACACACCCATTACATATAACAGATACCCCCGTACTCTTCCAGCTTTGTAGTTAAGTACAATGCAGCTTGATGCATTGGATAAAATAAGTTATCATTAAGATAAAAGGCAAAATCGATATCTTTATGAAATTGCTAACTTTTCTCTCCTCCTCATTCACTATTTCTTTTTTTCTTTTCTTTTAAAAATGTTCAATAAATTCACAATATACTCAGACCGCTTCATTACACTTTAACCTCTTAAAATAAGGCATAAGAGCCTCATACTGGGTTCATTGGTACCATTTAGATATGACTGGGCATATTTTATGGCTTAATTAATCCACACCTTGGGTGTACTGGCAGGCAAAAGGCTGCAATCCAACTATCCGGCTAACTGGTCTCTGTGTATTAATGGAGTCCTAAAACATACTCTGGAGTGTTTTAATGGCCTTAATGCTATTGTAATAGGGCTATTAAACTGAACATTTTATTTTATACTAGTGACCAAATATCTTTAAATAATTTGATTTTTAACCAGTCTTTTCAATATTGAAAGCAATTTAAAGAGGCATGGATGGACACCATTTGAGGATGCCAAGCCATTTAAAGGTTCAGGATCCTTGTGCGCTATCCATCCCATAATCCTCAGGACCATGCACAACCAGGAACTGTTCATCATAGGATTATGTGGGATTCTTCATGTTTCACAGAGAACGAATCTGTCTCATAAATTTATGTTAGTAGTTGCAAGAAGGTTTGGGTGTGTGTGTTTTTTAACTCAGTGCAGTTTAGTGTAGCATATATGCTGATTTTCTATTGTCAACAATGCCCGAAGCAGCTCAGAAAATATATACCAAAACATGACATCATTAAAAAAGAGCAAACCGGAATTAATCAAAGACAATGGGTCAAATTCAATATTAAAATGGAATAATGTGAGCAGGATCATAAACTGTAACAGAAAAATAAATAACTAAGTCCCTACCATACACTGATTATCCATTGGTTGCTCCAGGTGCATATCACTGTCATCAGCACGGCCCACAGTAACTTAAAAACAAAACTCAAAAGTCTGTTTCACTTCCAATTGATGGTTAAAAAGCAGAATAGCCAGAAATCATTCTATCATATATATTTCAATGATTTTTATCTGCATTCCACTCCCAAAGAGACTGTCCCAAAGGGTTGATCTCGCCTTCAGGGTCAACCAACCACCTGCATCAGGCTGGGGTGAAATTTAAAGAGGTCTCCAAGGCATCAAGTAGTGACTGGTGCCCATTGAGACTGGTAGGGCGGAAGCAGGAAGCTCAACTGTTGATGGGGCTAAAGCCAATGACAGGCAGAGCCAACTGCTTCTTATTTTGTCTCCCTCTTCCCTCCTGCTGAGTTCTACAAGACAACACTGAGATTAAGAAGGAGCAGTCTGAAAGTTTGTTAAGTAGGAAAGCAGGCAAATGAGGAACTGGTTGAAGTCAGACTAAGGCTGGTGGAGTAGTGTCCCAATTGCCCTGATAGACCAGCCTCCTCTGTGGCCAGGTATTCCAAATGTTTCATGAGGATCAGTCTTCTCTTTACCCATAACTGCATATTGCAATACAGGCAGCTTTCTCTTAATACAGAAAAATTGTATTGTCTAAAGGGACAGAGGGATGGTTCCTGCTGAACCTCTATTGGTAGGGAGTTTCACTGGTTAGGTCCCAAGTGACAGCCTACCAAAGCATAGGGAATTAAGGGGATTGACCAAAAAAATCCCATCCCATATTTTGATACCATATTGACCCAACTATAAGCTGCACCTGCAAATAAGCCACACCTTTAAAATTCAAGGCTTATTTGCGGGTGTGGCTCACCTCCTGGCACTACTGCCCTGAACAGGGGGTGGGGGGTGGCCGGCGTGCATCGCCCTGCTCCCCAAACCGGTGCCGGCACTCGGCTCTGAGCGCGCTGCACACCTGCCTCCTGGCACTACCACACTGGGGGTGGCCAGTGCTCGGCACCCTGCTCCCCAAGCCAGTGGCGGTGCTTGGCTCCAAAGATAAGCTGCACGTTAACTTTTCACATGGGGGGGGGGGGAGTGTGGCTTATATTCGGGCCAATCCAGTATTTTTTCCCCAGTGCCCCACTCCCATTTGGAGTGTCTGGCACTGGGCTGAATTCCACTGAATATGCAGGCGGTGTATGTATTCGCAACATTATAAACACAACCTAGAATAGTTCACACAATGTAGAATTAAATGCACAGAGAGGGGAGGAATTTCTGGCACTGTTCCCAATCACCATATATACATTGAAACACATGTACAGAACCTGCCTCCATGCAACATGTATGGAGTTTCGTTCAGATGAATGCATGGAGGCTGAGTGCAGGGACATCAAGCATTATTATCTCATCCCACCCCTCTCTGACACACAAACACAGTCACAATTTTATGACCAAGTTAAATCCTTGAAGAGCGCACTTAAAAAACTAAACCACTGACAAACTTTTAATTATAGCTGTTCAACTCACATCCTAATTAAAAAATCCAAAATACTCACATTCAGTCAGAGGTCTATTGCATGTGTTCCATTGCACTGGTGATTATTTCATAACTGCTCCCAAACTCTAAAGTGAACTAAACTGGGAAGGAAACAAGTATGTTCCTACAGTCTTAAAGTTGAAGTTAAAGGGTGTGTGCCTTTGGCAGTGCTTCCAATCAACTCGTTCATCTATATAAAAAGTTAGAAAGCAAAACGTAGAGGCAATGCTCTAGGCATTTTACACAGAAACATAGGTGTTGTTGCTGCTGCTGCAGACACTTAGTCACTTTATCACATGTTTTAAAAAATGAACCTTTTATTAATAAAATGTTTGTTTGGATGAAATTGAAATGAACTACTTTGTTTTGTAAAATGACGAACTTGAACTATTTTGGCATGGTGGAAATATTAGGAGCTTAACACTTACTTGTCTATTAACAAAGAATTCTATTTAAACTCAACGGGGGAAAATACTACATATGAGTGTTAAATGTCACCTCTGCTTTCCTGGCAGGAATAGAAAGGATTTGAGTCTGGTTTTTTTCCTTTCTCTCTTACTCTGTCTCTCTCCTCCTTCTGTGAAAATACAGTCCTATTCAAGCTGCAAAATGAAATATGAGTGCTAAACTCTTTGCCAGGGCTGGGAATCTGTATGGCATAAGCACGTCCAACTAAATGCTCCATAAGCCGACAAGTGGCACTTTTCAGCACTCGAGGCTCCGACTTATTTTCATAACTCCTAGGGCTGTTGTTGCACTTCAAAACTGAAACTGCAAAATTAAACACACACTGGGTATTTCCAAGAATCTGGGCAGTTGTTCATTCCAAGCTGCATTACAGATTTTTTAAAAAGTACATTTATTCAGAGGTGCAATGCAGCAGCAAAGCAGGGATAGGAGACTATGCCTGTCTCCTGAAATATAAACGATGAAGTTTCTCTTCCCATGAAAAGAGCAGCAATAATAAGCCCATCTCTGTATACTCTGTAATAAGCCCATCTCTGTATACTCACATACCTGCATTTAAAAATTTGTGTATTTTATATTACTGGTTTCATATTTAAATGATTTGGCTCATTTAATTCAGCTTGTGCTATTTCTGTGGCTGCTTTGAGCTTTTGGCTAATTCTTTAATGTTTGATATGCTATTGAAATGAAATATTATTGAAATAGTTCGTGAAATTCTTAAGCTGTTAATTTGATATGTCACTTGGGGCATGTGTATATGTGTGTTTTAAAGGTGGCATACCTTAAATCAGTAGGACTTCTATTTCTGGATTAGAAGGAATGAAAAAAGTTAATCTCCAGTCCACAACAGAATTGTTGAAGACAAGTTTGGATGTAAAAAGTGGCCAGATACCCTGCTGTACACTGCACAGGACTCTACTAGAAGGAGTCTTTTATTTGAAGGGCTGTCCAGTCCAAATCCAGTTTAAAGATAGAGGAACATTAGAAGAGAAAACATGGGCTATGAAACTGCTCATCACTGGATAGTATTGGAGAGGAGATGGTAGTCGTGGTGCATGTTGGTACCAGTGACATGGGAAAATGTAGTTACAAGCTCATGGAAGTTAAATTAAGGTTGCTAAGTAGTATGCTGAAATGCAAAACTTCCAAAATCATTCTAGTGAAAGCTGGGCCTGTGCAAAAGGGATGTGCTCCACTTGAACTGGGATGGAATCAGTCTGCTGGTGCTTAAAATAAAAAGGTGGAAGAACATATTTTTAAACTGATTGAAGAGGAAAAGAACATATAGGACCATGGGAGTTGAGGAGGCTTCTGTTCAGAAGTTCAGAGGTAGTATTGTTCTGTACATCAAACAAAGCATTAAGTCCAGTAAACTAGAAATCCTGAAAGGGGCAGACTTCTCCACATAATAATTGTGGGTGTTGATACATGGCATCAAATTAGTACTGGGGTCATGCTCCTGTCTCCCCATCTCAAGGGAGAAGTTGAGATGAAAGATGAAAGTAAGGAAGCCTCCAAAAGAGAAGACACTGTAGTAATGGGTGCTTTGAACCGGCAATGTATGTGTTCTAGACATGAGAAAGAGGTTTAAAATTTCTGGACACCCTAAATGACTGTAATCTTGAAAAATTGTTGTTGGAACTGACTAGAGGGGCAGCAACCCAGAACCTAATATTGAATGGGGCCCAGGATGTAGTATAAGAGGTAAGTGTTGCTGAGCCAGATTGGAGCAGTGATCATAGTGCTATTAAATCAATTATACTTGAAAATGGCCAGTTGCCGAGAACATCCCACACAGTGACATTTGATTTAAAAATAGGAAACTTCCCACAAATGAGGAGATTGTTTAAAAGGAAGTTGAAAGGCAAAGTTCAGAGGGTCAAATCACTCCGAAACGTTTGGGATTTGTTTAAAAACACAATATTAGAAACTCAACTGGCGTGTAAACCGCAGATCAGCAAAGGTACAATGAGGGCTAAGAGGACACCAGCGTGGTAAACAAGAAGTCAAATAAGCTATTAGAGTCAAGAAGGCCTCCTTCAAATAAATGAAGCTTTGTCCAAATGATCTAGCTCAGGAGTCTCTCCCTGATTGGCTTGGAGATATGTACTGGGGTTTAAACTTGGGACTTCTGAATGCAAAACAGATGCTCAACCACTGAACTCTGGCCCTTCCCTTTATATATCCAGATTATAACTTGATCACCTACAAGTCATGAACTATTCATTTCAGTGGACTTTGTACCTTTATATGGATGAGTTCTGCTTTGTTTGAAACCAGTAGAGAAACCCGTATTAAGCAGAAGAGTTCTGCACATCGACAAGCAACACTGAAGTGGTCCTGAAGAAGATATATAAAGTAGTGAAATTTACAGTCAGTTGACTCTGTGGGCAAATCTTGGCATAATACTCTATTCAGCTATGAGGCAAGTACTGTGACACCCAATTCCTACCCTGGGTTAGAATTTAGAATTGAGGAGAACTCAATTCTATCTTATCAACCTACCATCCCATCTTCCTGCTTGCCTCAAATTGCCCCCCACCCTGCCTACCTGCCTGCTTGCCATCTAGCTGCAGCTCCAGTCTCAGGACTGAGGTCACTCATTTTTTCTTTCTCTCCTTTCACCTGCTGCTGTTAGGACAGTGAGTTAGGCATTGGAGGGAAGGCAAAAGGAGACCTTGTTCCTCCCAGCATGGTAAATAGGTGGCCAGATTTAAGAGATTTGGAAGTTCCTAAGAGCTGGTAGAATAACTGTGCTCCATTGTACCCCTGATGGAGGTCATGTTGGGTTTAACTGAATTGGAAATGTCTTGGGATTAGCCGAGATTGTTTTGATTTGGGACAGGGGATTCTGTGCTTTTTCTAAGCCAATCAGAGGAGATTAACTTAAATGACGGTATCTAAGCAATGGCTACATGGCCATTTATCATCAATGCTTTAGTGGCATCCAGCAATGTGGATCCTGAATCGAGGGAAAGTTGGACTAGATTCCTTGATCTTATTGTTGCAGACTAAATGCAGACATTGTTGCTGGTTGAAGTAGTTGCTGTTTCTCATTCACATCTTTTTGGATGATTTCCTATATGCAATTTGGAAGCAGGTGGTTAGAAAGAAGTGTTTAGAAACATGAGGCTCGAGGGCCTCAGCTTACAATTAAAGCTCTGCAGCAGATACAGCTGTTAAACTGTGGAAAGGGGTGACGGGAACTACTTAACAGAAGGCAGGAGATTGTTCCTTTTGTTTCTAGTGTGACTGTGTACAGACTTCCATCAAGCTAATGAGAAGGACACGAGGAGGACCCATCTGGATTAGCTTAAAAGTCTGTCTAGCTCAGCTTCATATTTCCCATAGTGGCCAGCCAGATGTTCCCAAGATGTCTGCTGGCAGGGCTTGGAGCCAACAGTCCTCCCCTACTTGGTGCAGAGAAACTTCTTTTCAGATGCATGCTGCTCTTGAATGTGGAGGCTTCATTTTGCTAGCATGGCTGATAATATGTCTCTCCCCTGGCTCAGCCAGTGTGGTGTAGTGGTTAAGAGCGATAGATCCGTAATCTGGGGAACCGGGTTCGCGTCTCCGCTCCTCCACATGCAGCTGCTGGGTGACCTTGGGCCAGTCACACTTCTTTGAAGTCTCTCAGCCCCACTCACCTCACAGAGTGTTTGTTGTGGGGGAGGAAGGGAAAGGAGAATATTAGCTGCTTTGAGACTCCTGAAAGGGAGTGAAAGGCGGGATATCAAATCCAAACTCTTCCTCCTCCTCCTCACTGATTGCACTAACAGGCTGACATGGAGACGTGTGTCCACGGCATGCATGGAATCTCTCAAGCAGTGCAGGCTCCAAGGATACAGACACCAGAGGCCCTAGTTCAGCATTCCCTGATTCAAGGGCCCCTTTCATCTCATGAGCTGTAGCTCAGATCTGATCTGGCCATGATACTGGGGCCTGGAGTGCTTCTAGCATTTCTTCTTCTTGTGCTTCAGATCTAACAGATCTAGCCAGGCCCTGCCTATTAGACTTACACCCTGCCTGCTGCTCAGGACCAAGATCCTACTGCTATAGTTGGTTTGGCTCGCTTTCCAAAGGGAGATCTTCCATCTGTTTCTGTCCTAGCTAGGGATGGGGGAGAGATTCAATTCAGTTCATATTTAAGGCACATTCTGAAACAATGCACAAACTGGAGCACAGCCATCCTTTGAAATTCACACTTCTCTAGATTTTGCAATGCAGTGCTCCAACCTAATATCATGGGGGGGGGGGGAGAGATATATAGAAAATATATAGAAATATATATCTGTTTTTATTCAGAAAATGTGTATACCTGTATTAGGCAAAATTGCATTCTAATGTGCATATTAGGAGAAATTCACACTAAAATGCTGGATAATCTTCATGAGGGATTTTAAACAACAGCAACAGCAACAAAATCGTGAAATGAAGGGGAAATGTGGAGCACTGAACTTGCATGGGAAAATGAGAAGCTGAGAAGAACCAAAAGTGACAGATTCAACCATCCCTAGCCCCCGCATGTCTCTCTGTAACTCTAGATCCTTTTGTGTAAGGTGGTGTGGCTAACCCAATTAGCCTTAAAAAAGCTTTCTCCATTGCCTTAAGTATGGGGTGGGGGAGTGGAAGCACTATTCAGTGGCCTCATGGGCTCTCCCATTTATACCTTCCCAGCACCACCAGCTATGTGTTTTGTTTCCTTATTCATTTATTTAACACCAAGCCTGAAGGAACAACTCTGCAAGTGTAAATCAAAAGTCACGTGAATATCGCTTGGCCCTCCAGATAAAAGAACTGTTTTATTCCCCACCTGTGAACTTGATTTCATTTAAATCCCATTTGCTGCCTGGTTTTCATCTTTTCTCTCACATTCCCATTTCAGCTAGGCCTCTCCCAGGCATACCTGCTCAACTTTTTTTGGACCTAATTTGAATGGGGGAAGGGAACATGCAGGCACCAGGGAAGATCCCTGTAGGTGGGTGTGTGCCCATCATTGCCCTGTTGGTAACCCGGGATTTATATCTGTGAGGACTAGAAAAGGAGCAGTATCTCTGAATGTTTTGCCTAGCATTGCTGTTATATAAAGACATGTGCTGGTAGGGAGGAAATGGAGCTCTGCCACACACTTGACTGAGAATGCATCCCTCCCCATGTCAGTCTGCATTATGAAATCTTGCTTGTGTTGATTCCAAGCAGAGGTAAACATCTCTTACTCTGAAATTTGCTGCAAGAGTGGATGTGGTTGGATTAGATTCAGACAGCAGAGATCTGTCTCCCAGGGGGGATTCATAATTAACATA